AACATATCATAGCATCTTAATACATCACATCATCATAACATAATACATCAAATCATAACATAATGCATCATCATAAAATATCATAACATCATAACAAATCACATAATTATAACATACTAGGTCATCATAGTACATCCTATCAATATACATGACACGTGCAAGGGCCACTAGGCACGTGTTATCATACATAAGACAAGTCTTCCAACCAAGCAGAAAGTAGGGTCACTCACATGGTCTTTAGTTGTATTAAATAGAATATGACCTCAATCTTACTTTGGATAAAATTAAAATCTTAAATAATGACTTTTAATCACTTGAGAATTGTATAGGCTTATCTTTGTGAATTTAATGAATTTTCAAACATGATTAAATGCTTGAATTTCTACAATTCTAAACGACTCGAGTTCATTACTGTATATATTTCATTTTAAGGCAGAAGAATAAAAACATTAATGTCCCAAATTCATATATTTTCACATATGACAATCAAACTTTGCACACGTATCCTTTAAAATCAATCACAAGAACACCAAATTAAAAAAAAAAAATCGTAAATAAAATAGTTATAAGAAAAGTTTAGGTAACTTAAGAATGAATTATTAGACGGATGTGAAATACAAAGAAAACATGCCAACAGAATCTCGTGACTACAAATAGTCCATTCTATCCGTCTCTACCAACCTTTTCCCTTAGTTTTTAAGAGTTTGTATTGAAAATAACTTTTAAGAGTAAGTATTGAAAATAACCAATAAAGTATACCAATTTTATCTCTTATTCTTTCCACCTTCTTTTTTCATACGGTCACAAATATAGTCTCTTTAAACAATGACATTATATTCCTTTAGGACTTCATCTTCGTGTAAGTAAACAATGATTAATATTATTACTTAATCCTAAGTTACTTTTCTCTCTTTTTTTTTTTTTTTGAAGATAAATGTTAAAGACAACTAACCTTTCACATGTCTCCACAATGATATAATATTGTTTGTTTTGGACATAAGCTCTTATGACTTTACCTTTGGTTTCATCCACTGAAAATGTCTCGTAGTATTGGAGATAATGTCTACTACTTATTTTACTGTGATCCTCCCCTTTCTTATCCAATATAGAACTTTGGTCACACACCAACAATTCTCCCCTCGAATGAAGGATCACGAAGTCTCCTCTCTAATAGTCATCTTTCAATATTTACCCTCGAGTTGTCACTTTTAACTAGGTAAACTACTTCTCACTAGAGCATAATCACTATTTGGTTAGCTTAACCACATCTCACGACGGCTATATTATTATTGTTAAATTAGGAGCATGATTGTAATACTAATTGGCTTGGACAATGATCCTATACATATCTCCACAATGTTACGATACTATCCACTTTCCTAAAGAAGGGATACTTTTGGCCGAACATGTGAGATGAAATCATGCAATACACCAAGAAATGCTTTATTTTCCAACAAGATAAGGTAGAGAAAACCAAAGTCTCGTGACCCCTCGAACTCTTGTTGGCACAAACGAGGCCTTGGAGTGTGTCACTTTATTTCATCACACCTTCACAATGTAGGAGAACATGAAACAATCTTGGTTATCTTTGACCGATTTTTGAAGTATGTCACATTTGTACCCACGCCCAAGCAATGCTTGGCTGAACTGACAACCTAGTTATTCTTCAGACACGTGGTGAAGTTATGGGGCATTTAAACTAGTATTGTTGGTGATAGATACTGTCGATTTATAAGAGCCTTTTGGACAAAGTTGTTTGGATTCTTGGTGAAAACCCTGAACATCTTATCGAGCTACCATCCAAGGTAAATGAACAAATTGAGAGATTCAACTGCTTGCTAGAAGAGTACTTGCGACACTTTGTCGACTACTATCAGAAAAATTGGGCACAGTTACTTGATGTCGCCCAATTCTGCTTCAACTACCAGATAAGCTCCTCTATAGGTAAGAATTCTTTTGAAATTGTAAGTGGATGACAACCATCCTTGTCCCACATTATTGACCAACCGTATGTAGTGAAGAACCTGCAACCCTAGAACTTCACGAAAGAATGGAAGCAAACAACAGACATAACTCAAGCTTCTTTCGAGAAAGCTTCTAAACATATGAAAAAGTAGGCGAATAAAAAGTGTCGTTCCTTCAAGTTGTGAGCTGGAGATCAAGTACTCATCAAACTCAAGTATGAACAGATTCGATTTTGAAGCTGAAAAGACCATAGACTCATCAAGAAAAATGAAGGACCGTTTGAAATCCTCTAAAAAGTCGAGACTACATCTTACAAGATAACACTGCCCACAAGGATGAAAATTCATCTTGTAATCCATGTGAACAACCTGAAGCCTTAACACCTCATTCCAATTGATATCAACCGCAACATTGCCACGAGACCTCAAATCGACCTCAAACAGATGGAAACCAAAGAAGTCAAAACTATCCTAGCTGAAAGAGTTAGGAAAATCTGAAGACGAGTGTTTGAGAATTCTTGGTCAAATGGAAAAACCTCCCTAAAAAATAAATTAGCTACTAACGCGCCAAAGATCTTAACTCTGCCAGGACCCATATTGAAAATTTTGAACATGGACAATTGACAGGGACATCAACCCTTTAGGTGGGAGAGGATGTTATGGTCATGCTTGTCTTGGACGTGTTGCCCATGGTGCATGCCCATGACACGCCAAACCCCTTTACTTGCTTCCATATTGTATTACTTTCTTAAGTTTATTTATATTGTATGACTCTTGGGCGAAATCAAAATGTACTAGAGGTGGACCAAGTATTCATCAAACCTCCCCCGACCAAGTATTGTAATCTCTCTTGCCTACATGTTTTCAATGCAATTGACTTTCACAATACTTATTTCCAACCTGTTTTAAATGATTATTCAGTAGGTTAGAATAACCGCTGCACAGTCGTTAGTCCACTACAAAAAAAGAAAAACTGCAATTATATGACATGGAGCAACTTTTGTGCCCATTGATATTATGGGGAGCCATATTCTCTTCAACAAGTTTATTACACAAAGGTGGTTGTGATCATCTACACAATCTCAGCATAGTAATCTGAGCACACCATATCATATGCTCCTAAAACACGACCACATAAACCAACTTTTCTAATACAAGTAAGTTCCTAACAATTTTCAAGTTTACTATTAAAGGTTAACTAGTCTCCCACATTCTAACCTACTCATATAAATATATGGGGAGTTACCTTGTGCGTTTATCTTATTCCGTCTCATTACCTGCAGTCTAATCGGGTCGCTATTGATTGTCTTTAACACTTTTTTAATTAACAAAATTTCTAAATTTCTTGTTCTTCACACTTTTTTTGTTTGATTTCCGTTTCTAATTTCAATTTCTTTTTAATAATTTTCATTTTTCTGTTCATTTTCAATTTCCAATTTTTAAAAAAATTAGAATCTTACATTTATAGCATTGCCCCTACTTTTAGAAAATAAATAAAAATTTACAATTAGGTTTTGTTTTTTTAATAGATTAAGGCTTTACTTGGGATAGATAGAGATGCCTGTTGTATTTGTACTAACTTAATAAATTTAACCTAATATAATTTTAGAAAAATTCTAATTCATAAAGTTTTCATAGGTTGGATTGATCAAATATTTTAACACTCAAGGAGGTTACAGACTTAAAGTCGTTTCAATTTTAATCTCTCACCTGGGTAGAATTAAATCTTGTTTACCCAACACCCAAAATGAATAACTCCTTTAATAAATATGAATGTAAGTTATTTATATTACACCAATGTTCGTTCTTCATTGAAATGTTTCTATAAATAGTCAATGTACTGGACTTTGTAAGGTAAATAGTTTTCAATTCAACCATGGCAAAAGAAACTAGCACAGTTGGAGCACTGGTGGTCCTTTTGTTAGCAGTAAATTTGCAAGTTTTTGTTCAACTTACAAAAGCAAATGATGACTACAATCCACCGATATGGGACCAGTGGCTAGATGCAGGTAGAGCTCCATATTTAAGACCATGTTTGAATCTAATGAAGAGTACGAAATGTCAAGTGCAACTCTATAATAATTACTTCAATATTAGAAAGAAGAAAGTGGACTTAAATTGTTGCGTTTTCGTCAAAGTCATGGGAGAGAATTGTGCTCGCCGCTTTGCAGGTTGTTTTGATTATCCATCACTTGAAGTTTATAAGCCTAACCCTATGAAGCTCTACAAAACATGTGTTGCAAGACTTTCTTTGAAACCTTGAAATTATAGATGAATTCACATTATCTATTTATAATAAATTTAATAACTTTAAAAGGTTTCCACCTATTCTCTTTAGTTGTATTTAAATAGAATATGATCTCAATCTTACTAGCTTGAATAAAATTAAAATGTTAAATAATAACTTTTAACCACTTCAAGGATGGTAGATGCTTATCTTGATGAATTTAATTTATTCTCAAACAGCTCGAATTTCTATAATTCTAGACAAACTCAAGTTTGTTACTATATATATTTATATCATTTTAAAGCACATGAACAATATGTATGTTGCAAATGCATACATTTTAATATATAACAGTCAAATTTGGTACGGTTACCTTTTAAAATCAATCACAATAACACCAAATTAAAAAAAAAATCATAAATAGTGTACCGAGTTTACAAATAGTTATGAGAATGGTCTAGGTAACTTAGTGATAACAAATAGTCCCTTCCATCAGAGTCACTACACGCCTTTTCCCTTAGCTGAAATCACTTTTTTAATTAATGGGTATTGAAAATAACAAGTGTTCCAATTTTATCTCTTATTGGTTCAACCTTCTTTTTTCGATAACAAATGTAGTCTCTTTAAACAATGACATCATATTCCTTTAGGCTTCATCATCGTGTAAGTAAACAATAATTAGTATTATTATGTCACGACCCAATTTTCGAGGCTTCGAAAAACCGAATCGTGACTAAAAAGACGAAATCGAAAACAAATAAAAAGAAAAGAAAAGTAGAGTAAAAGATAAAAATACCATTTAATTAAAACGAAATAGGGAAAAGATTTGTTTCAAATTATTACAAAAGTAATTACAAATATAAAATGAAATACAAAAGACTCTAAAAGACCGACAAGGGACTGACGCTCCGGAACGACACCTCTCTGTGACAGTGCAGCTCTCGAACACCTCCTTGCATCGACTGGTACCTAAAAAAAAAAGGGGAGAAAGGGGTGAGTATAAAAATATGCCTAGTAATCAACCTACTTGTAGGCTCTTTTCACATCCTTATCTTAGTAGGTATACACGGTCTTATCTCTAGGTTCTAGTGAGTGCTAATCACGCTAAAACTCTCTTTTCTGTATCTTTTGGAGGCTTGCCCCTCTTATGCAGTGAAATGGTCAGTGTCCTGAGGTGAGGCGCGACCTCATAAGTAAATCTGAGGGGATCGTATGACTGGATCTGAATACGTGACTCTCTCTGAACATCCTCCGTGGAGGTTAGTTGACAACCCTCATCACACGGGATCATACATCCACTAAATTTGGGGTGAGACCCCCTGTGTGCCGGTCAGCTACTAAGTCATCCTACGTGGCTCCACGTCCCCCACTCAAGGTCGGGTTTCTATGGCCCAAGAGTTCTGTTCAGCAGACCCTTTAGCTATCACCACTAGGTCTGGGCACCTGTCACACTTCCCTATCCGAATCTGCCAAGCTCAACGATCTCCGTATTGGAGCTCTATCTCGACAGTACGGTATCAGAGTAGAGAGGGAAGTAGAGGTTCTGATGACACTATCCACATTGCTCAACTCTAGCCGGCTACCTACAGTTAACGTGGTGACCTACTATTCTTTCTAGGGTGGAACTTGGTGGCTTAGACTTGGATTCATGCATCTCTAGGATTCTCGTGCAAGGTCTCACAAACCTATAAGGTTTCGAATTTTGGGCTCTAGTTCTGCCGGTAATCATTTCGCGGGTCTAAATGCACAGTATTCTAGAGGTCCCCCAATTTGGGGTCTCATCTAGCCTACTTAGTCACAAGCACCCTAATCTAAGCTCACAATTTCTTCCTATTCATCAAGAAAGATAACACAAGCAACCATCATGCATAGGAGTTAACACGCAACAGTTCATGCAATATTAACAAACATGCTCAATGGGAAGATAACGTCCATCTTCACTCGGAGCACAGATTTCACAAGTTTCCCATCCTCCTCATGCATACATACATACATTATCAGAATCTCAATCTAAACCGGTTACATAATCATTCATATCTAGAAGCCATAGGTTTCCTTATTTATTTCATTTTCATGGTTTCCATACTAATATGCTAGATTCGGCTAGCTAAGTTTATGGGTACGATAGCATGCATGTTTATTCCAAGCGATTCCTACAAGTACTGCTCGTGAGAATCCAAATGGCTACTTACATAGTTGACGCGTGCCTTCCCAAGCTTGAATTATTTGCCGGAAAAGGTTCCAAAAATTATGGAATTTCCTTTATAGGTCCTAATTCACATAAAAATAAGATCAGAGTTGAAATCGGGGCGAAAATCAAGCAAACGGAGGTCAAACGAAGGGAAAAAGGTCACTCACGCACGCTGACGCGCTCTGGAGGTGTATTACGCGCGCGTGTCCACGCGCGACTTCCCACGCAGTCGTGGGCCAGCGGCTAGATCGGTTCGGTTTGCATGGTTCGGACTCAGGCTGCCTCGGTTCCGCACGCCTGATGCGCTTCTCCAGCATACAGTCACCACGTGTCGCTCGTCGGTTCTGTCGCGCTCTTCCGTATGTCGGTCGACACATGGCGGCAATGCCTCCTCTCTCCTGCGTTTTTCCAAAAACGTGAGTTTTGGCGTTTTCAATCCATTTTCTTCCGATTTTTATATCTTCCAATCCGTAATCCGAATCAACAAGTTCTCTTCACTAATATTGTAAATCTCATATTCTATTTCTACAATATATTTTTCTTGTATTTTTTCGATAATCACATGTCTTATTATTTGAGTTCGAATTTGGGAAAAAACACGAGTTCTTACCGAAAATCGCGTTTTTCTTGAAACTCCGATTTTTGTCCAAAAACTTCAAGAAACCTGTGTGAATCTTATTTTAGTTACACACCTCAAAAACTACAGATTTAACGCTCAAGAAACTCCTCAGATCTAGATAAAATCGAAACAAGAAGTTCGGAACCTTACTTTGTTCGTTCTTGGATTTTCTTGCCGGAATGAGTGGATCCACCCCCCAAACTCCTTTTCCAGTACCGAGAGAACTATTGCTTCGAAGTTTCTTGCCTTGGATTCGATCTCCAACTACATTTTGTCTTCTCTGCTCTTCCTCTCTCTCAAACCCTAACTTCTTCTCCTTTCTCCTTACTCTCTCCCTCTCTTTCTTTTCTTTCTCTTTCTTCTTAGAGCCCAAACAACTAGACCCCTCGGGTAAAAGTAGGGGCAAAATGTCCTATGTTGTTATTTTATTTTTTTTTATTTATCTAAAAATTAGAGTATTACATATTACTTAATCCTATGTTACTTTACTCGATTTAAGGTCCAAAAATAACCTTCAACATTTTATTGAAGATATATGTTATAGACATCGAACCTTTCAGATGCCACCATAATGATACCATATTATTTTTTTTTTTTTGGGCACAAGTCTTTATGGTTTACTTTTTGTTTCACCTACTTATTTTACTATGATCTTCCTCTTTCTTATGGAATGTAGAATTTTGGTCACACACCAACAATTCTCACCTTTAATGAAGGACCACCAAGTTACCCCTCAAATGACTATCTTTCAATGTTTACCCTTGAATAGTCACTTTTAACTAGGCCATCTTCCTTTCACCATAGCATAATCGCTATCTAATTAGTTCGACCACATTTCACTATGGCTATATTATTATAGTTAATTTAAGAGCATGATTATAATATCAATTGGTACCGATAAATAACCCTCTACATATCTCAACAATGGCATCATATCGTCCACTTTAAATAAAAGCTTTATTAGTTTTATTTTTTGAATCATCCAAATGGCTTCATATTTATGGACATATTATTCCCAACTTATATACCCATGAGTTTCTCGTTTCCTAATAAGATCTTGGACTTTTGTCGCTCTATAGTAATTTTTCTACTTAACGAAAGACCACCAAATCTTTCCTCAAAATAGTCATTCATTTGTGTTTACTCTCGAGAAACTTTATAGGGAGGCCAGAGAGTTTTATATAGTTTAAGTATGTTGACGGTATGATTTTAGTTTATTAAAGAGTTGTTGTTAATGATTCGCATGTGTATTAAATTAGCTACTTTACATACATATTTGTTCTCTTATTCGAGAGAAAAGAGGGAGCAATGAAATCCTCCTTAGTAATTCTAATTCCATTATAAACAGACTTGAAAGTAATAGAAGGGTTAGAATAATTCTTCTCCTAGAGCGTTGTTAATAGAAATTAAAAATAATTATGGAAATAATCACATGCAGTACCCTGGGATTGAGAATCTATTCAAAAGAACTAAAATTTACCACAAAACTCAACAACGGATCGGTTTAATCTCTCTTCGCCAAACCTTCCTCATTATTTTGATTTCCTCATCATTTTTTATTTTTGGACAGTAGTGGCACTCTACTTCGTTTAATTAGTTTAAAATCACCAACACCCATTTGAATGTTACCCAAAAACTCACTTAATCTCTAGCATAAAATTAACCAAAAAGATGGGTTCTATGTAGAATCGATAATTTACTTATTACTTGCTACTTGTGATAGTGAATACTTACACTTATTCTTGTGAATTTCACATCATTTTAATATATACATCCATGAGAGATCAATCATAATACAACATGGCATTTCATACATGTATATCATCGTAACATGAGATATCATCCTACTATGTCATATCATCATCATACATCTAATGTCATGATATCATTATGAATCATCATCATACATAAGACAAGTCTCATCTTACATAAAACAAGTCTTCCAACCGAGCCGATAGTAGGGTCACTTACATGTTAGTCTTTGCCAAAGTTCACCTTCCAATTTAGCCTGCTTTTACCCTTCAAATTGGTTCTCGAAGCTTCACTTATTTAAATACAAATTCAATAGTCTTAGTAAAAGTAGAATTACTAACTCAATTTAATTAAAAACTAAGAAAACGGGCTTATACTGACCTAAAATCCAAACAATGTTGGATTTAACAACCCAAGCTGAATAGCTAGTTTTTAGCCGTGTTGAGCTAAAGCCGAGCCCAGCTGCTGAAGCCGATGGAAGGACACATGTCATGCAAGTGTAGGTGCTGAAAAGCACACAGGTTGGGAGTCGGATCAGGTCACTCTCACAGGCGCGCAAGTCTGCCGATGGGATGCTAAGCAGTGGTTTGTGTCTGAAGTTAATGGACTACAGGGCCGCTACCATCATTGGGCTATAAGAATGGTTTGAGTCGCGGGCGTGTTTACTGGACCGTGGGTTGATGCAGTCGCAGTTTGCTTCTTCCATTTTCTCTCTCTTCCCGAGGCCTTCCCTCTTCGTTTTCTCGTCGTCCCTCCCCTCAAGAGCCCGCAACCTTTAACTCTCTATCCACTTCTACTTCACACCCTAAGCAATGGGGTATTCATGTAACCTAAAATAGAGAAGCACGATGACACCGTTTCTTCGAAAATAAACTCCTCCTCGTCGGTGATGAGACTACATTGAAAATCATGATAGAAAGACGTCGTTAGACTTACCGTGGCATGTTCTGAGTCGTCGTCGGCATTGGATTGAATCTCTTTGTCTCGCAGGCGTCGTGCTTCGAGAAAGGGTTTCGTCGAATTTCCTTCTCTCTATGTCTGTTACTCTCAAATGGCAGGAGGCGTTCGGTTGGTTGGAGGGTTGAAGGAGAGTGGTCTTTGTAGGGGTCGTGGATGGGTTGAAAACACGAGATCTATGGTGTTTCGTCGAAAATCTCGCATTTTTTGGCGACTGCGTATATTTTTTTTTTCTTGTACAGTTACGCATTCATTTATACTTACTCTCAAGTAATCACTTTTAACCAAATCAATTCCATTTATAAAAAAAATAGTTCGTATCTATTTAGCTCAACCACGAATCACTATAGCTATGTCATTATGGCACACGTACATGGTCAAGTCTGGAATACACCTTTGATATTACTTTTTAGGGTTACTAAAACCATCCATAATCATAAAATTGGCTTTACTTTTAGTTTCAACTAAAATATATCATACTAACCGAGATACGTCCCTCACTTATTTACCCATGACTTTCTTCTGTCCTAACAAATGTGTGGTTTGATTACACTCCAACAATATTCATACAAAGTAGAAGGCCTTATATTATCACTTATATTTGTTAGATAGAGGAATTCTCAAAGACCGAATGAAAACTTTTTCCTTTCCATTTTTATCAACAAAATCAAGAGTTTGTTATCATCTACTATTGTTTATGATTCCTTAACAAAAGCTATAAAACTCATCTAGACCAATCTCATGGAGCAAGAATCATCTAAAATCATACTACATACGAAAAAAATTTAACCAAAGAAATTTTCATAAAATCTCAAAATTTCTGTTTAAAACTCTAGTGAATAAAATCCACGTTCACTCCATTTATTTTTTAATAGTGTCTCACATACTCTCATGAATGAAAGTTCTCATAAATATTCACGATTTAATGATTTAAGCCCAAACTTTTTCCATGAAGATATATTTTATTCATGAATTTTCATTAGAATTATTCCTTCCATTCATTAATGATTTAAGCCCAAATTTTTCCATGAAAATATATTTTATTCATGAATTTTCATTAGAATTATTTCTTCAATTCATTTACAGCTTTACCAATCTAATTTAATTTTAGAAAAACACATGAACCAACCAACTTATAAAATTTTCATCTATTTGAATCATTTAATTTTTTTTAATACCCCTAAAAGCATTACAAAGAGTGCAAATGTAGTATGGTGGTTACAAACTTAATGACCTTTATATTTTAACCTCTCTCCTAGGGTAGAATTAAATCTTCATTTACTCAACTCCTAAAATGAATAACTCTTTTAATAAATATGCATGTAAATTATTTATGTTACACTTACGTTTTCTTGATGGAAATGTTTCTATAAATACCTACTATACTTGACTTTGGTAAGGTAAGTAGTTTTCAATTCAACCATGGCAAAAGAAACTAGCACACTTGGAGCAATGGTGGTCCTCTTGTTAGTAGTAAATTTGCAAGGCTTTGTTCGAGTTACAAGGGCAGATGATGACTACAATTCACCGATATGGGATAGGTGGTTAGACGAAGATAGAGCTTACTATTTAAGACCGTGCTTGAATCTAATGAAGAGTGCGAAATGTCAAGTGCAGCTTTATAATAATTACTTCAATCTTAGTAAGGAGGAATTGGACTTGAATTGTTGTGTTTTCGTCAAAGTCATGGGAAAGAATTGTGCTCTTGATTTTGCGGGTTGGTTCAATTATCCAATTTTTGAAGTTTATAAGCCCAACCCAATGAAACTCTACCAAAGATGTATTGCAAGGCTTTCTTCGTCCATCCCACCTATGCCACTCTAATCTTGAAATTATAGATTAATTCTTATGATCTATTAATAATAAACTTCATAACCTTAAAAGGTTTCTATCTTTTTAACTTTTCAATTTAATCTCATGTTTTTAATTGTATTTAAATAGAATACGATCTCAATCTTACTCACTATAGATAAAATTAAAATCTTAAATAACAATATTTAACTACTTTAGATGCTTATATTGGTAAATTTAATGAATTTTCAAACATGTAGTAACGGTTAGGAATCACATATCTCCACACCAATGGTATGATATTGTCCACTTTGAGCATAAGCTTTCATGGCTTTGCTTTGGGCTTCCCCAAAAGACCTCATTGTGGAGTCCTTAAGATTGGTCAAACCCCTAACGAACTCCTCCATTTGGTCCACCTTAGCCAGCGACAGAATCCCGAAGTTCATGCACTCATTTCTGTCATCCCTCCACGCGTTCACGAGCATCGTCGTGGCAACTCCGAACGGCGAAAGGCAATTAACACGTATACCATAGCGGCCAAGTTCGCCGGCAATGTTCTTATTGAGGCCGACAATGGCATGTTTGGATGTTGTGTAGGCAATGTTCTTAGTGAGGCCGACAATGGCATGTTTAGTGAGGCCAAACGCCTGCCACGCTACATATAGGCGTCACATGGTTTATACCTAATGCGACACCTTTGACGTTCACACACATCACCCGCTTGAAGTCGTCGGGATCATGAAATAGCTCTTGTGACGTAAAACTACCCATAATTTTTCTATTCTCCAAATCTCCTACATAAAACACTAAAACTTTTGCAACATTCCCTCCCTCAAGG